GGGGCGGCCGAGGGCTGGCGCCCGGCGAGAGACCTGCCAGCGCTGGCCGCGGAGCGGACGAAAAGCGCATTTTCCATACGGATGTGTTTGCCCTGAGCGTCCCCCCTCCTCAGCTCCTGCCTCCGGCAGTCTCAAACGCCTCTGCCTTTTTTCGCTCCACAGGTGGACAACGTACCCGTAAAAAGAGATGCCCCTACACCAAATATCAGATTAGAGAGCTAGAAAGGGAATTCTTCTTCAGTGTCTACATAAACAAAGAGAAACGCCTGCAGCTCTCCCGAATGCTCAATCTCACCGACCGCCAAGTAAAAATATGGTTTCAAAACAGAAGAATGAAAGAAAAAAAAATTAACAGGGACCGATTACAATATTACTCAGCTAATCCACTACTTTAAAACTCATAGTGTTTTTCAAGACGAGATTAAATTCAGATTTCGCCCTTGACAAGGTCAAGCCACGGGGTTACATGGAGGAAGGAGGTGTGTATCTGACGGGACTAGAAGAATCCAAGGTTTTACATAAATGTAAATCTACTTTGGACTTTTAATTTTTTTTTTTATATATTTACATATCAACTGGAATCGATTTGATTTTGACACACATGGCATCCATTTCTAACGTGCACGTCACCTCCGAGTGCAAAATCCATACCTCTTACCTTTCCAGGCACTGCGGTTCACCCTGCTAAGGCTTTCGGGAGTCACGAGTGGGGACGGCAGCTCTGTGTACACTGACTAGCCGGGGTCTGTCTGTCTGTCTGTCCCTCTCCCCGGTTTTGCTGTGGAACATGTGTATGGAGATTTCCCATGTCGAGCTGACGTAACGAGGACCACTGCAGAATACAAACTTTGAGAAATAATCTTTTGTCCTTCCTAGAGGAAAACGTCTGTGCTAGAGGCAGTGCTCCCTTACCCATTGGTTTTAAAGGAGAATTAAAGGGGGAAAAAAGAGAATTAAAGGTGGGGAGTGACATACCTACACCTTCATGAGGTCAATCACGAGCAGTTGTAATATGGATGTAGTGATGGGCATAATCGTGTTTCTTTGGGGGTGCGGGTGGCAAGGAGGGGGTAGGGGGAAGAAAGAGAAGTGAATGAAAGACTTAATTATTTACTTTAAGAATATCAGGTATAAATTTGCCATATATCGTAAAGAAACAATCACTGAAAAAAAGCAAAGATTTAGCAAATTTTAATTAGCTCACGTTTTATTTATGACAACTGACTGTGTGTTGCCATCTTTTTGGAGACAAATCATATATAAATGCTAAAAATAAAATGGCAAAAGTGTGAATTTCAGTGTTTTAAAAGAAATAAATACATAAAGGAAACTAACCTTCTGGCTTCTGGCTCACAAACTTTCTTCAGGAAATACCTGTGGAGAACGACAGTTTGGCAAATACCACACAACACTTAATTGAAACTTGGAGTTGTGCAATGCACTAACATCAGATCATTAAAATAACTTAATCGCATGTTCTTTAGAAGGTGACTAGTGAGGAGTTTAATCAGAAGCCAAACAATGTAAATATGGTAATTTTGTTGTTGTCTACTTTAAATGTCACGAGCTCTACTTTGTCGCTCAGTCGACATATGCAAAGAATGGAGAGTTGTTTGGAGTTATTTTAAATATCTATAAATATATATATTTCCCTGCAGGAACCAAAGCGTGAAAAAATGCAATTTAAAAAGAAAAAGAAAAAAAAGGAAAATATTTAAAATTCTATATCAGTTTACAAAGGATACGGTGTTCTATCGTTAAGGTAATTTGCTGTTGAGAATATCTGAATGTATATTTCATACAAGAACGGTGTTTTACAAGACTTGTAAATAATAAAAAAAGAACCCATGACCTATTTTGTTCGAATGCTCTTTTTTTCATATTTCTTTTTCCTTTGAGACTAAAGGGTGTGGGATTTCTTTACATGTGCAACGAAGTGGTGATAAGAATGTCTTCTGATCAATAAATTTACCAAATGGATGTAATTTCTTTGACACAGTTCACAAAATGCAATATCTTTATATGACATCACTGTTTTCAATATGTATCATCTATATGTATATACAGTTTTCTTTTAATATGCGAAAGTATTTGGTTGCATGTATACAGTGGAACAGCGCACAAGGAAAATAAAAAAATGGAAACTTTATATTTTTATTCTGGTGCTACGTTACTGCATATTATTTTGTCTGATGTACATTTTGGGACCTAAAATTCTTCATGGCCTTGTTCAGTCCTTTTGGGCTAATTATTATTCCTTTATGAATCTTCATAGTTTAGTGTGGAGTAAACAAGTGAATTCAACCTCGCTCAAGCATCATTTCAGTGCGTTACAGAAAACAAACAAAAGACGAAAGAAATTAAGGATGTTCATCGCTCGCTACATGAATAGCCTTTTCCTTATCCTTTGTACAATGCAGGCAGGGCAAGGTCTGGGGGCTGATGTGACATTGCTGTTTGCTTCAGGCCACATGTGTCCAGGAGAGCTACTTTTGAATTGTTGGTAGTGTGGGTAGCGGTTAGGGCATATTTTATAGTGGCACCACCAAAGCGAAGGTACAAGCGAGCTGATGTGTGTGTTTAGTAGCGTGAGAGCCCTAAGAAAATTGTTGTCTTTGAAAAAAAATTCCACATGGCGGTGTGGTGGAAATGGTCTGTTTGAAATTGTCCTTGCTCTCCAAGGCAAGGCGGGGGTGGGCTGAGTGGGTGGGGGTGGGGGGAACAGGGAGAAAGTTAGAAGGGGGAAAAACAACAAAAAAACAATACAATAGCTGAGATGGGAATGTGTTTTGGGAAGGGTGTTTGAATCTCTAATGTTGACCCTAATCCTAATCAGGAAAAGAAAGTACATTCTGTTTTCGTATTGTTTGCTGGCTTTGAACTTCTGTATTGCTTGGACATCACCCATAACCTTGAGGTGAAGGACTTACTGACTTTGGGCCTTTGTTGACCACCGCCACCCTGTCAGACAACGTCTAGTCAAAGGAAATGTTAAAAAAGCGAGGGGGGGAAAAGGGGACTTTGTTTGTTTGTTTGTTTGTCTGGCGTGCTACAGTGGCAGGCACGTTAGAAAGAGGTGGACGGACGGACAGACGCAGGCAGGCGGCTGAGAGCGACAGAGGGACGGATGGGGAGCTGAATGGCAATGAAAGTTTAGCAAGAAAGCTTCCTTTCCTGGTTAAAAATTAACTGGCATTCATAGCCAATCCTGGAGACAGTTAAACCCTGGAGTTTCTCTGGTTGGGGTTTGATTTCCTAGCCCAATAAAATCGCATCCTCTGTGCTGCTGTGACAATGTGGCCATAAAAAGTGTCCGAAAAAACGGGGCCGCGGCCGCGGCCCGGGCCTGGGCCGGGGCCGGGGCCGGGGCCGGGAAGGCACAGGGCCCGTCTTGCCACGAGATGGCGATCTTCAGATCAATGTCAAAGCCGCCCCGAGCGAGGGGAGCAGCCCTGGAATATCTTGGCCTTTGTTCACTTTACATCCTAGGAGCCGCACGCCAAATTATTTCACTTTCTGGGCCAGGGCATGCACAAGTAGCGGCGACCGCTGGCTCGCTTGTGAACCCAAGCGAAACCTTCCCCAAGGCCAGTATGAGGAGTTAGAGCCGCTTGGCTCTGGGGGGGGGCAATGCGCGAAGGTAAGTGCTTTCTCTGTACCCTGCGTGGAGCAATGAGAGGAATGTGCTGTTATCATAGCGGTTCTTAGAGAGTTTGGACGGCCCCTGCTTCGACTTTGTTTCAATTAAGCACTTTGGAAGAGAATCATAGGGAGGGGAAGCGATTCAAAACGTTGGTGATTAAACTTACGAGGTGAAATAATATTTAAGGAACTTTCGAAGTTTCAGTTGACCTTCTTCTTTCTCTTCATAAAGTTTTGGCCAGCGGCGTGGAAAATCCACGTTATCTGGAATTATTTTTTCAGAGAAACTTGTAGATTTCTTCCAGTTATAAAAATCGTAGCACTGGAAATATTATGAAACTTGACATTTATGTGTGGAACAGTAGGTGTCTTCAATCAAATAGATCTATTGCACCACAGACTGCAAATGACAGACAATTCTGACGATCTTATTGGACTTGAACTGTCGTTCAGTTAGGGTAGTTTAGTACCTTGAAAGGCTAGTTGTTTCATCGCAGCTGGACACAGATTGTGGCAAACAAGGTTTGACACACTTACACTAAAAACTACGTGTTTGGTTGCATATTAAGCCAACGGTCTTGTAAAATCAGATTTGGATATCTATCTATCTACCTATCTATCAATGTATTTATCTCAAATAGCACATGTGTTGTAAACAAACAATAGTCACACATTCTCATGTGCTGAGGGCTGCTCTGGGTTGTAGCTTTGAAACTCTATCCTCGCTACGAGTATCTCTAACTCCAGGTTACTTTTCTCGCCCATAAAAGTTTCACATGTTTTTGTTATGTCTCCATTTGAGAAGGCGGGGGGGGGGGGAGTGGTGTTATATGGAGATACTGGTTTGGCTGAATATTTTAATCCATGCGTTTCTTCCTAGAGAACATACAATATTTAAATATCTATCTGCAAAATTGATTATTTTGTCTCTTTTGCCCAAACCGTCTTCATATGTAAACTGATAGAACGTGCCTGCAGTATTTTTTAAGAAATAGTCCTTTCAAATTTTACTTATAGGAAACTATTGAAAGAATAGTTGAAAGCACATGTTCAGTCGGTAGAGAGCGGTTTCTAGATGGTTATCGGAACCTATCGATTTCATCAAAGATGTTCCCTTAAAAGCTCAGGGATTTTGATCTCTTTTGACCTCTCCTCGGAAATGTCAGGACTTAAGAAGTCACGTCTCGAGGAGGAGCAGTGCAATTGCCGAGGGTCCCTTTACTAAATTTAATTTTACACCAGTCAAGTTAAACTCAGCATATTTGATCAAATATTTATTTTTCCCCTTGTTGTTTCCCTGCCCCATTCAATGCTCAACTGAATAAATCAAAGGGACCCCAGCAGTAGTTAAAGCGCCCTCTGGTTACGAATTGTTTACTGACGGCCGCGGTCATAGGATAATATTTAAAAAAAACAAGCTTGTTTCTTACAATAACTGTTTATTATTTCACATGATTTGGGTTTGCATGTTTTGGAGGGAAGAGGCGAAGCCAACTCAATGTCTACACTGTGTTTAATTAATCGTATACTCAACTTCAGTTCACATAGCACATCCAAACCCCTGGGAGGCTTTTTCATAAGCTCTTCGGGTTTGTGTTTTGTTCTCTTTTTCTTTTTCTTTTTTTTTCTTTTTCTTTTTCCCTTTTTTTTTTTTTGTCACAATCTTTTCATTAAGCGCTCTGAAATAGAAACTTCAGGCCAACGTATGCGTCTGAGAGCCAAGCTATACTGCAACCAAATAAGATATTTGCGTTTGTATCCAGATCTTATTTAAATAAAAGACTGCTACAAAAAGGGGATACGTTATGCAGTTTCAATTACTTAATGCAGCTGTGCGGCCCATTTATCTCAAAAAAGATACACTTAAAGGATATATCCAAACATTTAAGGTTTTACCCATACCTGTACAACCTAATATCTTTGTTGCTTCTGGACAGTGCTTAGGGCTATACAGACAGTAGAAAGCACCGTCTTCTTAACAGAGGCGTATGAATGACTATGAGATAAATCCTTAATGAATTGACTGGAGTATATTTTGTTCAGCCGCATACTAGAATTCAGAGCTCGTCAGAATTACTTGCAAAATATGTTCCTAATCCAAATGAGTAAAATGATACACATAAACTATAAAATATATTTCGGAGAACAGGCCTCCGCATGGCTGGAATAGTTGGAATAAAATTAAATATCACCCTAATTTTCAACAAGATAGCCCACCACCACAAGCCACCCCTCCTTGCATTGTGAAAGAATTTCTAGTAAAGATAAAATTAGTGGGGCCGTCACTTGTCACCTAACTTGGCACGGACGCAGTTCCTAAACCTCCTGTTTGAATTCCGCCTTCTTTGGAGCAAATCCAGAGGGGGGAAAAAAAAAAAAGGAATCTGGCACACGTGCATGTTCCTGACAACTGACGGTTCTAATATTAAATAACTATACTCTAATTGCATTCATTTTTTGGTGATATATAAAATGTAATCTGCAGCTATATCCTCAGATAGGCGGCGCATGCACTCCTATAACAAACTGTAAGGCCATTTCCATTTTTGCAAATTGCAGTTTTCCCATGTCTACAAATGAGAACATATTTTAATTGGTTTAAACAGTGCGTCTCTTGATTAACAATGCAGTATCTTTTGGTTTATACAGGATATAATAAATAGATAAATAATGATTTAGCATGATGTATTTTGAAATTTCCAACCGGAGTTTGCTTAGGCTGAGATGTCGGGTTTTATTTATTCCCGTTTTGTTTTTAATTGTAGTCAAACCAATAAAACAGGTTAACGACTCTATTAATGCAACTATTATATTTTTCTTAGATCAATAAAGCCTTATTTTGATAGCGTTGTCTATTACGCTGTGAATTTAGATTCTCCACGAAAGCACCTTATTACTGTTTTTGATATTTATCAGAATTTTATTTGCTCGAATTTATGGACCCTCAGATAGCTTTACTTACAGAAGTAGAATTAAAAATAAAGTATTTCTCGTCCCCTGGCGTCCACAATATTCTTTAAAATTTCTTTTAAATAGGGGTTAAGCTCCAAGGGACACATTGCTAAGCGCTGGAAATGCAGTAGCTACACACAATGCATGCCAAATTAGCTCAGTTTAGTCAGAATTGACCATTATCTTTTATAGTTAAGAATCAAGCGAACATTATTAGTTTTACTTCACTGGGTTTGATGATGCTGGTTACTATTTGCCTTGGCCTTGTTAGCGATTAAAGAAAGCAGGGATAATACACCGCCAAGCTGAGTTCATGATCTAGACGGAGTGCCTTGACCATCAAACTAACACTGCTCATTATTATAGACGAAACAAAAAAAGGGCACAGATCGGGGTTTCCGATGGCAGGTTCTGCAGGACCCAGACACTCTCCTTTTGGTCAAAGTAACTAAGGGCTAAAATCGAGCCCTTCCGTGGCGAATCTTTTGCCACAAAACCTATAGGGGGGCAGAAGAAAAGTTAAGTTAAAACCGAGTTTTCGTCTTCCCAATAGTGTCTGGCCCCTGTGTCTTTTGTCTGATTTCTCTGCATCAACTTTCAAAGAGGAAGGAGAAGCCAACTCGTGTCTGTTCCGATACATTTTGAGTCATTTTATTTAGGCTGATGAGGATTGTAACGTACTTTTATAGGCCTTTCCCCCCTTTAATCCAATTTTTTAAAGCGAGCTGCTTATTTAAAAAACAGCTTTGGAAGGATTTCAAGTGTTACTCCTCTATTCCGTATGGGTTTTAGGTTTGCAATCCATTTCTATTTAATTTGGCAAATGCAAAATAAACATACCGCAAGAGCGGACTTCCCCGGAGTAATTTTTATACCTGACTTGTGTAGAGAAATGTATTTGGAACGTGCAGTTCGGGCTCACATTTCATTTTATTTAGATCTGTATTTATAACGTTAAGCCTATTGATAATAGCCTTCCTGTATACTAGCCAATAAAATGGTTCCTTATATGGTATTAATTTTGTAAGCAGTGATATGGCCCTCATAGGAATCTGATAAGGGTTTGTCCATCACACATTAACACATTGTGGGGCAAGTCGGGTTTGGGAATACAAACAACATTACAGAAGGAAATGCGGGAAAAAAAACGAAGGGTTTCTATAGGCTGTTGGATCTACTCCTATCACCGCATCCGACAGGCAAGACCCGCTTTAGCACTCAGAAGTAAGCTGTGCTATAACGCACATTCGATAACACTGGAAAAATAAGACGCCTTTCCATAAAGGTTTTATGGGTATTGCCAAGTTGTTACAACCTCTCCCTGCTCCGGCGTTTCCAGCTGACAAGGACAGAGCCTCAGGAGGGCCCCACCAGCTTGACTTGCCTACGGAAACTAACATTTGCGTCCCGCTGTCTTCAGCACGTTTCAGAATAACTTGTCTAGGGGAATGTCAAAATGTGAGGGGGGGGACCCAAAAAAAAACAACAACAACAAAAGAATTTCCTCATCGGAGGCAAACACTAAAATGGGAAACCACGTGAGGCTTGACAGATCGATAGGCTGGAGGAGAAGCGGCCCGGGCGCCGCCGGGGCTGGCAGCGGGAGCAGCGCGGCGGGGCCGTGTGAAGGCCAAGGGGAGCCCTCTCCCTCCGCCTCTCGGCCCCCCCTCCTGGAAGCAGAGCCCAGGCGGACGGCGGCTCCTGCGGGCGGAGGGTTTGAAACAGGGGAGCCAGCCCCTCTCGGCACCAGGGATGGGGAGCAGACGCTGGGAAAGCCCTGAGCAGACCCAGGGCTTAGCTGTTTCGACTAAAGAACCCTTAATCCTCCGGGCCAGTCAGTTAGGCGACTTCGGAGGAGCATAAGCGAGAGATGATGGAAGTGAAAGCAAGCGCTCATTTAGCGAATCATTAGAAAATCTATCTGTCTCTCTGTCTGCGTGCCTGTCTGTCTGCTATCTGTCTGCTACCTCCGGCACAATTACATTTTGACTGCACAGAGCTGTCTAGTATCTCTGAATTCATCTACTTATTCTTTCTATTATTTAGTACTCTGCTTGTGAAAGAGATGGTGCTTTTGAAGAGACGAAAAGTGAATGATCCAAATGGGGAAAGGAGAAATAAAAATGATCTCCCCAATATAAACACATCAATAAACAGGGTGTGTAGCATCCTGTGAGAATCCATTTGAACTGCTCACGTCTGGATTCTTTCTGTGGCATATGTCTGGCTTTATATTTTAAGTGGTGATCAGACCTCGGGAAGAGTCCAGCGTTAACTAAAGCATTGGAAGCTGCAGCCACACGATCAATCCTGCTGGAGTGGCATTGGTTCCTAATAGATTCTTCAGCGCAGCAGCGAACATTTTATTTCTAGTAAATTTAAGCCTAGCCTGGGGTTTTGGTGGTGATGTTAGTCTGGAAACAGCCCATTCATCAGTAGTTTAACGCTAGCAACACGAGGCCCGTTTATAGTTTCCAATGATCCGTGATAAACAATAACATGTCTTTTATTTCTTAAAAATGAGACAATCAGATACAATGCGCGGAGCCTAAGCATAGAAAGCGGGGCGAGCCGTGGCTTTATTAGTTTCGTGACAAACACAGGCTGCGCAGTGAGGTGAGCATGCATTACTTCCGGAAAGCCCGACTGCGGGGAGAGAAGTGATAATAAAAGCTTCGTCTGTGTACCGCTTCATCCTAGGTATAATAAACATCAAGACCGCCGGGCTATTTTATAGTGGTGCCTGTGATAACAGGGGAGTGAAACTTGGAGTAAGTGCCACCAAAACGCGCTCCGTCCGCTTTCCCGGGGTGCAGCTCTCCGCACAGGCGCAGGCACACATACATGTGCACGAAGCGTGCGCGCGTGTGTGTACAGAAATCCATATCACACATTAATATACATATATATCCCAAATTCAGAGGTCGACCTGAGAGCAGCTCCGTGCATACGAAACCAGACTGGGAGGGGTTGCTGGGGAGGCCCGGGTTTCCATTGGCTGCAAGCATTTGCCGTGGTGCGGGGGTATCTCTAATCATATTCAGCATGTTTTGCACAAGAAATGTCAGCCAGAAAGGGCTATCTGCTCCCTTCGCCAAATTATTCCACAACAATGTCATGCTCAGAGAGCCCGGCTGCAAACTCTTTTTTGGTAGACTCCTTGATCAGCTCGGGCAGAGGGGAAGCGGCGGGAGCAGGAGGCGGAGGCGGAGGCGGAGGCGGCTACTATCCCAACAGTGGGATCTACCTGCCACAAGCGTCCGATCTGTCCTACGGGTTGCAAAGCTGCGGACTTTTCCCCGTTTTGGGCAAACGCAATGAAGGTACTTCTCCAAGCATGGTCCCCACCTCGCACCCCTACGTGTCCGGCATGGAAGTGTGGCTAGACCCCCCGCGGTCCTGCCGCATGGAAGAGCCGGAGAGCCAGCAGGCC